AGGTGTCGGAGCGCCGTGCACACAGCTTCTTGCAGTCCCTCTTCCAGGAAGGGGCGGAGTTGGCGTAGCTTGCGCTTAGCCCTATAGACGTGCAGCGCGTCTGGCGGGCTGGCGTCCCCCCTGCTCTCTTCTGCGCCACCATGAAGCGCCAGGACGTCGGAGGGGTGCGCAGTCGTCTGCTCCGCCGCGCCATGGTGAGGGTACACCCCCACAAGGACGTGCACTCCGTCGGCGGCGGCTGCCAAGAGGTTCTGGAGCCTTGCCAGCTTTTCTTCGGCATCCCCTTGTAGCCCCCCCTGCTTGGTGAGGCCGGTCAGGACTTCTTGGGCTTCTTCTGCTGCGTCGGTGGCGTGGTGCGTCCGCTCCCAGTCCCTGGACTTCCTCCCCCCTAGGAGTAGGCTGTGTCCTGCTTGAAGAAGCTCTCCCACTTCCAGCAACTCTCCGCGGTCTGGTGTGCCCCCTCCTAGGACGAGGCGATCCACCATGAGCCCCACAACTAGGGCTGCTACCTGAAAGGCATTCGGGCTTGGGCGAGGCAACGGCTGGCCCCCTGCGTGTGGCAGCAACTCCCTCGCTTCCCTCAGTCTGCTCTCGACTTCTGGGAGTTGCAGTTGTTGGGCCATGTGTGCTGCTGCTTCGATATGCCTGCCGGCAACGGCCGCTGTGTCAGGTCCCGCACTGGCTTGTCCCTCCTGCTGCTGCGGCTGTGCTCTCTCCATGGGTGCTTGTGCTTGTTCCCAGGCTGCTTGCGTTTCCTCCTCTTGGCTCTGCATGAGTTGCGACGCTTGGCTGCGGGCTTTTTTCAACGGGCTCGGTGTGCCCCCGTCGCTGTCTTGACGGCTTCTGCGCTGGTAGGCGTCGGGGCTGTGGTCCCCTCCTCTCGCTGCTGCTGTGTGGGCTTGCTGCTCTGGTTCCTCATGCTGGACCGGCGGCTGCGGGCGGGTGGTGTTGATGATGTCCCCCCACATCTCTTCCTCTGTCGTTGTCCCCGGCATGCTGCTGCTGGCGGGTGTGCTGGGGGTGCCAGGCTGTTGTTGTGTTGTCGCCGGCGCACAGGGGGGGGGTGTCCACGGGACCGTTGCCGCTTCTGCTAAGGAGCTGTTCTTGCCCGGTGCCGTGGCGGGTGGTTGGAGTCTGCGGCTTGCCTTCTGTGGGTCTGGACGAGGCTGCTGTGGGGTCCTCACTGGGCCAGCTGCTTTCTGAGTCACTGGGTGGCTGCGGCGGGGGTCGCTTCGGCGTGGCTGCTTTGGGTTGTACTGGTGGTGCGTTTCCAGTTCGTTGGACGCTGCTTTGGCTGCTGCCGAGTAGAAAGAGTATCCCCCCTGAGGGGTCTGCGTGTTGTCATGTGGTGGGCGCGGCGGTGGCTGTTTGCGCTGCGGTCCCTGGTGGGTTGTGGGGTAGCTGTGTTGGGGCTGTCGCGTCCTCTCCGCTTCTGCGGTCCTCGCTGCAGTCTGCGCTTCGTGGCCGTGGCTTTGTTGCGACTGTGGCTGGCCGACAAGTGGTGTGTGTGCTGTGTCGGCGTCGGCTGGCGCATGCGCTGCTGCTGTGGCTGTGTTGGCCTGCGTGCTTGAGGGGTCGTCTTGGGCGCTTGCTTCTCCTCCTGGGGCGGTTGCTCCCCCGCTCTGCTCCTGACTCTCGCTGGTCTCCTGCTGCTGCATTGCGTCGCTGCTGTGTGTCGTGTCTGTCCTGACCGCGTCAGTGTTCCTCTGGCTCGTCCCCTCGGCTTCTGCTGTCGCTGTTGCCCCCGTCGTGTCGCTGGCTGTGGGCTGTTGTGGTTGACTTGGTGTGGAGGTCTCCCCCTCTGGCATCGCTGCTGCTGCCCATGGGTGGAGGGCTTGCTCGCCATCTGTTTCGTCCGGTGGGAAGACGAGGGGTCTTCCCCCTGGTAGCTGGCTTTCACGGAGGGCAGTGGCTCGGTGTGCCCTCGGCGCGTACAGGTCCTCCACCGGGAACTGCACCCTGCTCCTCAGCGTGTATACTGCGGCTGCGTCGACCTCGTCCAACACCATCTGCTGTACCTCGTGCTCTTGTAGGTGGGCCGACATATTCGGCGGATTGCCGTGGGCAAGGCGTCGGGTTCGATGGATCAAGTCCCCGTCCTCCGGGTCGAGTTGGGCAACCGCGTACCTTTGCATGGAAGGGTCCCATGCCATCCTGTAGTGGGGTAAGCCCTCAAAAACAAGTGCCACATGGCGCTGCCGCGGAGTGGATGTACCTCGCCTTGGGCCCCCATGGAGAGGACCGGGGGGTGTCCCCCCCGCTTGCTTTGCTGTCTGATTCGTGCGAACCCTCGGAGCTGGACGCGCTGGTAGCTCGGCGTGGCTGGCGACGTTCTGGAGAGTACACAGAACGCCCACCCCCCATGCCCCAAATATCGAAAATGCGCGTAGGCATGTATGGTGATGGGGAGCTCTGGGGGGAAGGGGTTGGGCGGCAGGTATCCCCCCATAGAGCCTGTCACGGGGGCATCAAGTGGGAAGGGCCTCGGAATCGGTCCCCCCGTGGGGATGTGCACCGCTGTGGCTTGTGGGTGTGGTCCCCCTGAGCTGGCTGCTTCAGCATGTCCCTGCTGTGCCTCCTCCGTGTGTTGCTGCTGTTGCTGCTGCTCGTCTTGTGCCGTTGTGCCGCGGTGTGTGGTGTCGGCTGTTGCGGTTCCTTGTCCCCCGGCTGTGTTGCCGCGGTGGGGTGGTTGCGCCGCTGTTGTCGGCCTCTGGCCCTGGTGCTGGCCTGCTGCTGCGTTCTCCCTCCTCGCCGCTTCCAGCTGCTGCATCCTGCTTTTGTGTCGTTCTTTGGCTTCTGTGTCCTCCTTGCTTCCTGGTGCTGGCTCGCTGCTGCTGCTGGCGGTGTGGTGGGGGGTGGCGGTGGGTGGCTGTCGTGGTTGGTGGTGGAGGTTGAGGAGCTTGGCAAATTTTGCTTTGTCCCTTTCGTGGCGTGCTTTTGCTTCCACGGCTGCCTTGCTGTCGGGGGGTGGGTCGTTGCTGCTGCTCGAGCCCCCCTGCTGTTGCTGGTCTTCTTCCGAAAAGGGAGTCATCCCCACTATGTGGGCGGCCTCGTTCCAACTGAGGTGATCGGGTTTCTCGATCCCCCGTTTTCGGAATTCGGCTCTGATGGCAGCTTTGGTATGCTTATTCCCCCGTCTTTGATCACCCTGTCCTTCATGATAGGGCTTGTCCGCCTTCCCGCATTCTTGTTCCGCCACGCAGCTCTCCTCCAGCGGTGGCATGTCTGCTGTGCCCCCCTGTCCGGTGGGGTCGGCTGCTGCCGGCGTGGCTGCTCCTGTGGTTTGGTCTGCGGGTGTTGTGTCCCCCTGTGTCTGGGCTGTTGGCGTCGGCGGCTCTCTGTGCTGTGCTGGCTCGGCTTCTGCTGTCCCCGCTGCCTGCTTAGCGTGTTGGCTGGTGTCTGCTTGGCCCCTCTGGGTGGCGTTGGGGGCCGGCTGTTGCTGTGTCGCTGCTGCGTGCGGCTCCGTGGGCTCGTCTGCTGCGGCGGCCGGTTGTTGCGGGGCAGTACCCGCAGGGGTGTCCCCCTGCGCTTGTTGGCTTGTATGCTCTTCTCCCGTTGCTTGCGGCTGCGGCGTTGTCTGTGTCATTCTGCCCTTCTGTCCAAGCGTGTTTGCTCGCTCGCCTGTTTGTGGCTGCCATCTGCGTGCTTGTAGCCTCGGCTGCTCGGGTGCCGTTGCCTGTGGTTGCTCCTGCGTCTGGGGTGGCTCTGCGTTCCCCGCTGCCGCTGCTGCGCATGTTGTGTCTGGGTGCGTTGGTGTTGGTGGCTGCTGCGCCCCTGCGTCCGCTGGTGGCGTTGGCAAGGCTCTCCCCGCTTGTGTCCGCGGCGGCGTTGGCGGCGGTTGTGGCTGCTCTCGCGTCTGGGGTTGCTCTGCGCTCCCCGCTGCCGCTGCTGTGCTGGCCGTGGCTCGTTGCGGCTGTGTCGGTGGCCGGTGAGTGCTTGCGGTGTTGGCTGGCCTCCCGCTGCTATGTGTGCGTCTTCTGGGTGCCATGGGTCCCATGCTTTCGGCCGTGGCTGCTGCGTGCCTCTTTCTGGGGGGCCATGAGTTGGTCCCCCCGCTGCCGCGTGTTCGTCTTGGTGCCACGGGTCTGTGTGGGGGTCGTAAGGCTGTGGGAAGCGTAGCGTCCACGGTCCCCTGGCTTCCGTCGCTGTCGTGGTTCTTGTGGGGTTGCTGCCGTGCTCGAGCTGGAGGCTGCTGGGTGGGTCGCCTCGGGCTCCTCTGTGGCGGGGTTTTGGGCCTGCAGAGCTGCTTCGGCTCCCTGCCAAACATCGTCTTGGATCTCACCTTCTGGGAGGCGGGGCATCCATCTCCCCTCCCGCTAGATCCACGTCGTCCCCTGTGGCCACCTCCGAGTAAGACTTTCTGGCGGCGGCGGTGGCGGTAGGGTGGTCGTCGTCGGGCAGCGATGCTCTGGAGCGCGTGCAGTGGAACAGCAGGAGGAGGGGGGAAAACCACCCGACTCGGACTGCTAGAAGGCGCTCCAGAGCATCGCTGCCATGGCCACCCCCAGGTAGCCCATTCTGCATCCCCCGCGAGTAACGGGTTGCATGCCGGCGGGCCCCTCCAGGGCCATGCTACTGTTGGAGCGAACAAAAACCTCTGAGGCTCGGGCCGGTGCTTGGGATGCCCTCTGGTGGAGGCAGTACAGTCGCACACGTCAAGCACTGCATGTAATGTGGAGCTGGCACACACTGTGGTTTGCAACTCTGCACTGGCACACTGCAAACTGCTGCTGGCATGTGATCCTCTCTCTCCTCTCTCCTCTGTCTGCGGCGTGGCGGTGTGGCGGTGGTGTCCCCCCTCGGGTGGCTGCGTGTGTTCTGCGGCTGAAGCTTGGCATGTTCCGGTCAGTGTGGTTTCAGGTGGTGTGTGGTAGCGGTGACGGCTGGCTCCCCCCGTGGTAGAGTGCACATCGGATGTCGGCAGGCGTGGCGCGCAAACGGCGTGCAACTGGCCCCCCCTCTCGGGTTGCATGCATGTGTCAGGGCGGTGTGCCCCTCATTTATGCCCGGCCGTCCCGGAGGCGTGGCCCCCGCTGTCTTCTTGCGCGGTTCCGGAGTGCTGGCTGTCGCCCTCGCCTGGTTGGGGCCAAGTTCTGTAGCTGGCCTTGCTTGCCGCTGCTCCAAGGTGGGTCGAAGGTCTGGATGAATCTGTCCTCCAGGTTGTTCCACTGTATGCGGTCTGCTGCCACCTGCTCCCATTCGGGTCCTGCGATTGTCACAATGTGGCGCTCGGTGTCCAGGCTGCTGTTGAACCTGCTGGCATGGCGTGCTCCCACCCCCTGTGGCATGGCTTGCTGTTGCCTCCACCACCTCATCCCCCTCCACTGCAGCATATCGAGCGTGGCTTGCTCAGCTCTGGCAACGTGCCCCCACACCCCCCAGATCATGCGGAGCACATGTGTGGACCATCTGTCTTGTTTGTTCTTGTGCAGATGCACCCTTGCCATGCGGAGTGTCCGTGTGTTCCAATCCGTCCACGCCTCCCCCGGCGAGCGTGCTCCCCCTACCATGGTCCTCACCTGCTGCAGCTGTAGTGTGTTTGCTGCGCGAAGCAGCGTGTCCTGGATCGGCCACGACTCGCATCCCCAGAGCGCGCTTTGCCGCACCAGGGTGGTATGCAGGTTGAGTCTGCGCTTCAACGCTGTTTTGGCGACGAGGATGTGCTTGTTCTTCCCAAAGGCTTTACGACCTCTGGTTCCCATCTCTGCTGCCAAATGCTGTGGTCCCCCTGCAAAGCTGACGGGCGACCCAAGGACCGTGAGGGCCGCCTCCCCCCCTTCGGGTGTGACGAGTTGTCCGTCGATCCGGAACTTGAAAGGATGGTCGGTGTTGGTGACGATGCGAGTCTTCTTGGGGTTGATCCGGAGGCCGTGTTTGTGTAGTGTGCGCTGGAGTTTGTCCAGCGTGGCTTGGAGGTGCAGCGGGTTCTCCCCCCAGAGGTAGGTGTCATCCATGTAGCTCCCCCCGTGGTGTGGTGGGGGGGGAAGGAGTGGGTTGTCACCCCCGCGTTCTTGCTGCTGGGTGTGTGCCAGTGTCTCGGTCAATGCCTCCCCCACCCTGGCTGAGGAGAGGACCGGCGAATCCGGTGATCCCTGTCTGACTCCATTCGTCTGGGGCACCCCCACCTCTTCGCCCCCCACTGCAACCGTCACTTCCCTAGCCTGGAGCAAGCTGAGCCACAGTCTCGCCTCCCATGGGTGGGTGGGCCCCACGTGTTCCTCCACCAGACTGGCCAGGCTGGTTTGCGCCACGGAGTCAAACGCCTTCTGCAAATCCAGCTTAATGATCCAAAAAGGCCCCCCCAATCCCTAGCCATCCTCGCCACCTTCCTCAACGTCAAGATGAGCTCTGTGCCCTGCTTGCGAGGGGATGCCCACTGGAGGGTATTGTGCGGGGCGAGCGTGTACGCGCAGCGGCGCAGCAGCAATTGGGCAATTGCTTTGAGCACTGTGCTGCTCAGGGTGATGGGCCGCGTCTCCCCCCATCCGGTCGGCTGGGCTTCCTTGGGAAGGAGCACCGTGAGCCCCTTTTCCACTGCTGCGGGGAGCGTCCCCGTGTACAGGGCATCGCTGAGCATCTCCCGCAACCTCCCCTCCCACACCGGGTGTTGCTTGAGGATGTGCAGTGCTTCATGTGCAATCATGTCGGGCCCGGTGCACTTGTTGTTCTTCCACCTGGCTGAGACCCCCGACAGCTCATCCTGGGTGAAAGGGATCCAGGGTCTGCGCTTGCACTGGCGTGCAAGCCTCCCCCTTCTCTGCTGGAAGTCGGCGTCTCTAGCCCCCCCATCTGCCTTTGCGAAGATCTGCTTGAAGTGTGCTAGCAGGGCCCCCTGCCAGTCATGCGTGTCTGTGAGTGTGGCCACCCACGCGTCCCCTTGGTTGTTGTTGCGCTTCTGCTGTCTGTATGCTGACCAGTCGTGTTGGCTGGCCCTTTCGGTAAGTTGTTGCTTCCATGCTTTGTGCTCCCGGTGAAGTTGTTTGTGGATGGCTTTCCAGGCCTGCCTCCTCTCCGGCCCCGGGGGGAGGTGATGCGCCTTGCGTCGGCTCGCTTTGAGGGCGTGGCTTTCAGCAAACTTGTCGCTGTCCCCCCTGCCTGGCTTGGTGATTGCTTGGCTGAGGAGCGCAATCTGGGCGTGTCTGTCCCCCGGCGGGAGTTTAGCTGCCTCATCGAGCACGAGCTGGAGGTCTGCTTGGTCACGGACAGCGACGTGTCTAGGTCCACATGTTGGCTTGTAGGGGCGGTTGGGTGGTGGGGCAGCTCGGAGTCGGAGTGTGACCGCCTCGTGGTCCGACCTTGCAATGTCCCGGACCTCCTGCACCCCCCCTTCTAGCGAGAAGCAGCCCTTCAAAAAGACGTAGTCCAGCCTCCTGGGCCTTAGCATGGTGGCATACGGGAAGTGCGACGGCTTTGCCAGGTCCTGCGGGGGCAGCCGGAGTCCCACTCGCTGATGCCAGGCCAATATAGCCTCGGCCCTGCTCGTGTGTCCCTGTGCTTGCTGTTGCCCCGTTGAGTGCGGGCTGGGTGTGAATTGCTCATTGGCGTCCATCCCCACAATCACCCTGCGCTGTCGCATTGCCGCGCTTCCTCCCCATTCTGACAGCAGCGCCTCCGTATGCGCTGTGGTGGCATGGTGTGGCACATGCGCGCTCAGGGCCCCCCACTTATGACCGGTGGTGGTGTGCAGCACGAGCGCCACCCCCCCCAACATAACCTGTGTGCAAGAGTGCGTGGCAGCTTGCTTGCGGAATGCCACCCCCTCCCCCCTCCACTCTCCTTCCCGCTTCCCAAAGGCCAGTGTCCAGGCTTTGCTGTGCTCAAAAAACTTGCCGGCTTCCGTTACAATCTCTTGAAACAAGAAAACTTGCACTGAGGAAAGGACTTTGTTCCCCCCGATCGCTTGCAGCATCTCCAGTGCGTTCGCAGCAGAGAGGCCACCAACGTTCCAGGTCGCCACGAGAAAAGGTGTTTCGGCATCCCCCTTGAGGGGAGGCTGTAACAGTGCATGAAACTCGGGGATCTCGTCCCCCTGTTCGCCGGAGCTTTCAGTGGGCTCGGTTCCTCAGCGCAGGGCGGCGCGGAGGGTCCCCCACTCGGCGTCCACGTCGCTCTCTGGCTGTGCGAGTCCTCGGGCAATGGCCTTGATATTGATCCACCCTGCCCCGGCCTCCTGCGCTTCCCCGGGCTTGGTTGTGGTGGCCGAGCAGACTCTCGTTCCTTTGAACCACACTGTCCCCGTAGGCCACTCCGTCTCAATCTGGTTCAGTGCGGCCCCGAAGCTGAGGCAGAGCCGCTTGCACTTCCCGGCCAGCTGCACGCGGCGTCGTCTCTCCGGTGATTGCGACAGCTGCATCCACAGGTATCGGGTCTTCCCTTCGGCATTCGTCCCCATAGCTATGTTGGCCTGCCTCACTCTGTGCAGTGCCCCCGACAGCCTTTCACGGAGCTCTTGTGCGGTCTCAGTGTCTCGCGGGCCGTATGGCAGGATTGCGTAGCCCCTGCGGACCCCTGCGACAAAGGCTTGGTCCACGTCCACGTCCACGCGGAGGTCTTTAATCATCTGTTGGAATTCCCGAAGTGTCTCTTCGGCTGGGGTATCGTCACCCCAGCCGCCCATGATGAGCGCAGGTTTCCTGCCCCCAAACTCGGTGTCCACTGTGCTGCCGGTACCGGATTGCTGCAGGGTTTGGACTTTCGCCTCCAATGTCTGCAAGCGGGCATTCATGCGCGTCTGGTCCCCCTGGATGGCTTCCACAGTCAGTTGTTGATCTTGTTGCTGTGTCGTGATCGTCTGCAGCTTTTCCAGGGTCCTCTCCAGTTGCGCCGTCACCCCTGTCTCGACCCTATCCATTCTGGCCCCGATTTCGGAGCGCAGGGTGGCAGTACTCACGCCGATTTCCCCTCGCACCACTTCCCTGATGGCGTCAAGGCTGATGCGCTCTTCTTCTTGCGGCGCCCCCCTCTTCTTCGGGGATGCTGTCGGCTCTTGGTTGCGATCTGTCTCCATGCCCCCTGCACCTCCAGTCGTAGGCGACGAGTTCATTCTTGATTACGTCGGGGTAGTGTCACGTTGCACAACGTACCGGTACTTTATCTCCCGATGTGGTAGCGGAGAATCCCCCCTTCGCCCTCTTCCGTGCAAAGGGTCGCCACGCCGTACACGTAGCTGTGCTGCAAGTCCCCCGCACGCCTCGAGGAGTGATATTGATGTGCAGCAGTCCCGACTATGTCGCAGCCCCGGACCCGCACGGTGAAGAGAGGCAAGGTTTGCGTTCAGGTAGTACAGCAATCGCTGCGGAGGCGGCCAAGGATCGAAAGACGCCCGGGTTGAGAGAGGCCGGGGCCTTTTAGCGGAGAAGGACAGAAAGAGAAGAGAGAGACCTTGGCGTGCGGCCCCGGACCCCCCTTGAACCACTCACGGCTTGAGCCAAAATGGCTACTCTCTCTCTCTCTCTCTCTCTCTCTCTGAATCTATCTATCTATCTCTCTAGTTACTCTAGTTATCTGTCCTTTCTTTGTTGTTCTGTCCTCGTCCCTTCCGCCAAGTACCACGAATGCCCACTCTAATAACCTTACCGCGAGGTACCAACTTCACAGAAAATACGGAAAAACATACCCAATTTGTGGTAGTCCCCGTCCTTTGACTTCAGGTAAAAATCACTAGGACTTCGCCCTCTCTCTCGCTCTCTCTCGGGTGTGTGTTTGTGTGCGTGTGGGGTTCCACATTTGACTCGAGCACACCTCACGAGGTCTCAACGCGAATCTGATCCTAAGCTCTATACTGAGCGCCTACACCCAAGGGCAGCCTTGGCTTGCCAGTTGTTCAACGACTGTTTCCCGAGCATTTGTGTCCAGAGCCTGTGTCTCGCCATGGTTGGCACCGTAGAACTTCTCTAGCAGCAGGCAGACATACGCGACCTCCAGCAGGTTTGGAAGCATGTTCGAGGCTGTAGAAGTCTGCCTTTGCAAGTGCAATATAACTGTTGGGCAATTGGGGTTTCGAGGCCTCGTAACGCCAGCACTAGCCTGAAGCAGGTGTTGAAAGGGAAGGTCGATATCCTGAACAAAGACCTGACACCCAGCACACAACTGCTCAAGTGAGCAATTCATGCCACCCTCTCAGTTCTCATCTCCCTGAAACCCCTTTTGCTGAAACTTCCTCTACGAAAGCTGAGGAGACGAATTCTCGCTTGGGATTGGGAGGTGGAGAGGAGGGATGCTGACCTTCTGGAAGCCCTTCCCACTGAAATAGAAGCTCCCGCGGAACCTCGGCTGTTTGCACGCTGACTGGAGTTTTGGCTCTTAGTGTTTGGGCACATGTGCCCCCGCATCAGGCGTTTCACCAGGAGTGTAGACCAGCTTTCCCTCTGAAGCTGCACCTCTTCCTATTCCACACCTCCAGGCTTCTCGCAAAACAAATCCCATTGGCCTAGTTGTTAGGGGCAAGCCTCCACCAACACAGAGCAAGGAGCATTGCCAGTTTCCAGTGGTCCGAATCCAGGAACCACTGGGAAGTTCCCAGAGCCTCTAGACTTTTTTCAGGGCATGCTTTCACTTCGAAGCTTAACCCCCTGTTTTTTCTGGCTTTCAGAGGTCAGGGCTTTGCAGAGCGACGCAGGAGTATTGTTTCGGGCTTAGGGGCGTTGACGCTTTTAGGTTCCGGGTGACCGGGAAGCGTAGTCACAAGCCAAAGCATGCAGACAGCACCGCCCAATCTCCTATCCTTCTTTGGTCCCACATCTGTAGGAAGCTCGCACAATACTCAGATCCCACACATCAAAAGATCAGCGACCCCCAAAATTTCAAAACCTGTTCTGTGTTTGCGAGTGGCTGCTGGCGCGGATAAACGGAGAATGCCAAACGGCGCGCGAACAGCCGAAAAGTCGAAAAGCTGCATTGATAAAGATTTTGCACGAAAAACCAGAAAACCCGAAAAGGCGAAAAGTCAAGAAAAAACGCAAAAAGTTGAACAGTACAGCAAGTCGAAAGGCCGCGAAAAGTCGAAAAGTGCAGCTAGACGCGAAAAAAAAATTGACAACAGCGAAATGTCGAAAAGTACAGTGGAAGGCTACAAGTCGAGAAGTCAACAAGTCAAAATGTCAAAAACGATCGAAAACGTCAAAATCCATAACCACCGAAGAAGGGGAAAACTCAACCAGTCTGGTCAAACATGACTGAGACGAGTGCTCCCGAAGTGTTCGCATAACCCGAAGACCCAGCTCGGCCAAAAGTATCTATGTTTTAGATACCTATTTCTTGGATGAGCCCGACATTACTTGACACTTGGAACACAGGTCCAACCTGGTGCTGTCGGAACCACGAGATGCTCAAAAATCATTGAAAGTTGCCGATGAGGGTTCCTGAACCCAGAAAAATCAAAATGCCTATGGCTTCGTTCGTTTCAGGTGTTCCGGAGATGCCCAAAATGATCAAACACCAGACGGGAATTTCGCGCGCGCGCACAAGATTCTTGATTGGCTCCTCAGACCCGCAAAACAAATCGAAATGCCTGTGTCGTGGTCACTCTTTGGTGCTTCGGGCACACGAAATGCTCAAAAGTCATTGAAACTTGCCTGTAGGGTTGAACAAAAAATTCTGAAAAAAAACTCCTGGCTCCGTTCGTTTGGGGTTGATAATTCAAAATCACAGAAATTTGCGAGTCGGCGGTTCCCAAGCCTGTTGACAATCAGCAGAAGTATCCCAAAACCGAGCAATAGAAAACTGCGTATGGTTCTGCTACTTCTGGATGAATTGAAACACCTAGATGCAAAACATGCGGCTGGGTGGCTCCTTAGACCTGAACAACAAACAACAATTCCATATGGCTTGGCTACTGTATGTTGAATTTTCGACTAAAAACTTGTCAAACAACGCTGAAAGAGTACACCTGAAGAGTTCGCTAATCCGAAAACTCCGCAAAATACGCATGTGCTGGCTACTTATTGGTGGCTTGGGCGGAACCCGAAATGGTTTGACATTCAGCAAAGTTTGCCATTAAGCTCGATTCTGCTGCCACAACGAGTGACAGTACTACTACGCTACTGGCAACTGCTACTCGTTTTACTGCTGTCTCGAGATTTTCACATATTTGTCCACGGCCCTTGCTTACCCCTATCCATCCCAACCTCTGGGCCTGCCCACCCCCAATCTAGCCCTGGGCGTGCCGCTGCGCTTACGCACGCAACAACAGCCCAGGGTACGGAGCTTTTGTGTTAAAACCTGAAAACATCGACGAAGTCAACAAGTGCCGAACATTCCAAACGCTCAGAAAGTTCAAAAGCCGAAACACCCGACAACGTACAGAAGCGAATGAAAACGCAGAACAATCAATTAATCAAAAGGCAAGTGCGAAAAAGCGCAGACAAACGAGAAACGTTGAAAAACCCGAAACACACCGAAAAGTGCGAAAAGCACAAAAAAAACGCGAAAAGCCTTAATGTCGCAAACTTTTCAACTGTTTGATTTTCGACTTTTCGAGATTTAATTCGGTTCGCCGCTTATCGAAACCAACGCCTGCTTGCATACTTAGAAACCCCGAAGCTCTGATTGTTACGATTTATGGTGGTCCAGGCAGTATGTTCTGAGGATGAACTGCGCAAAAACGGTGACAGCGGAAGCGCGAGGATTGTAACAAGTGCGAGTCTTGCCGGAATGCAACGGGTCTATGATGAACAACAAACCACAGCGAACGTAGCAGTGGACAAAGTGAGGCGAGAATCCGGCGAGAAGCACAAGAACGAAAACAATTGTCCAGCAGTTCCTGCCGGTTTGCTGCAAGTTGGCGACAAAGGCGTGAACCAAAATTGAACACATGTTCTGTCACTTGCTGATGCTCTTTACACCATTTGTCTTCCAAGGGGTTGGACATGACACCAAACTCACATTTGCCGCAACATGCATGAAGTCCGGCAACACACGTGTTCCTGCGCATTCAACCTGTTTCGCCCGTCGTCTACTTGGTCACACGTTCATCCCACTTTCCCTGTCCACTCACGCTCTCCCTTCCCTCTTGGCCTTCTCGGCCAAGTAGTCCACGTACTCTGTGGCAGGTTCGTTCGCTGGCAGGAACCTTGGCTTGCCGAGGCCTTTCTCTCAGATCTTCCACTCAAGACAGCATTCCTGGGTGAAAACGCAACTGACAACACCTCTTATCCCCTGAGTCCGAGCCTCCTGAGCCTCGGCCAAAGGGGGCCCAGAGCTGACGATCCAGTTCCAAAAGCAGGCCGATCGTCGCACCCAACACAAAAAAAAAAAACTGTCGTCCCTGCTTCTAACAGTCGTGGAGCCCGAGCTGAAGCACCTCCGTGGTGTCGATGTCCAGGACCCAGGAATCACCAAGCACACCCACCATCTGACCTTCAACGGCTTTGGGGTTTCAGGCTGGGGCTGGTTTTTGAGGCATTTGCTCACTTAGCTCAACCGATCCTGGAATCGACATGCAACACCGTGTCAGCTGCAAGCAAACAGACAACAGACCGCAGAGCTCTGAGAGTCATGATAGTGATACTCAGACATTCCTTCAAGCACAGCAACATCTTCGAAGGAAAACAGTTGTAGCATGTACTTCTAGAGTGACTCATACACAAAGCAAAAGACCCTTGAAGCTTATTCAGTCACGCCCCCCACTCGTTGAATAGCTGAATAGCACGCTTCCATAAAAGTGGAGCCCGCCTTTGGTCGGTGGACGCATGGGCGTCAGGGCAGAGACCTCCAAGGCACTTGTGAGCAGAACCGTGATCCTCGGCGCTACGACTGACAATCTTGAGGAGCGTCGGAGCCTGAGGGCCTTTGCTATCCCACTCAAAACACCTCCTAAACGGGGGCAGGCCGAAGAGACATCTCATGGACCACACCGTCATTGAAACCCTGGAAGTTGACTGGTTCGGCTGCCTGCTGTGAGACACCAGTGAGCATCTTCTCATGGTGGGCATAGCCTGAGGCCCAGAATTGATTGAATAGTGGTACGATGTGAGAAGTACAGCCAAGAACTAATGATTCAGAACCATAGAAAACCATTGCATTGGGGGGAGGAGGCGGGGTGTGGATCATGTGGCTCTGCGTGTGGCTTCTGGTGTAGCTAGGTGCAGTTAGGTCCCCCGCATGCTAGGGGGCTCCATTGCTACCCGAAGCAAAAATTATCCTGAAGCTGGTGCCTTGCCTGCGTATGCGGGCACCTGATCAGACCTATCAGCCGCCAACAGCCAAGACTGCTCTGATCCCTGCTTTTTCGGAGAAGTGCTGGATGAAACCGCAGGCGCCAATGGTCAGTGAGCCAGGTTGCCGAAGTGCAGGAGTGGAACGTTCTGCAGGCCGCTTTTCGAGAATTGATACCTGACACTATCATCACTGGCACTCAGCCTAACGTATATAGAAGCATGGAAGTTCCACCAGAAGGGCAAAGCAGTTGCTTCCAGTGTCGTCCAGTGTCCTGCTCCTGCTCGGCTCCTAGACTAAAGAAATTGAACGCCTGCGAAGAAGACATCTGGAAAAAAAACGGTCTCGAGTGACAGCATGTGACAGCACGACAACTAGCAGCACTGACCCTAACAGGCACGACGACTCGTGGTTTATGGATCGTGGCTTCTCTGTTCGATGCATAGTTTGCCTTGTGCATTGTACTATCCTGGCGCTGATATGCAAGAAAGCTGAACTCTGCCCCGAAAGGTTCCATCACCAGCACTGAAGTACCACAAGTGTCGTGTCCCTCAACCCAGGCCCACACACTGGATCTACTAACTTGCTTCGTCTTGGCATTTCGCGGTCGCTGTGCCTCAAAGTTCCCAGCTCGACGTCCATGTCCCAATCTGTCAAGATGGCTCCTTCGCAAGAAAAGCCACAGGGTTGTTGGGTGCTCTTGTATGCAATTTTGCTTTAGGACAGGAAAACCGGAGATCATCCGAGTCTATCCGCTCTGGACTCTGGACTCGGGGAAGCAGGCTCCAGCATGCTGGTCAAGCACTTCAACGTCGCCGGCCACCTGGTCAAGGCCATTCTGCGTGGTACAAACCAGCAAGCGTTTCAGGACTGGTTACTCGGGCTTTGGAGAACGGTCCACGATGCCAGTGCAGACTCTGTCACCCTTGCCCGTCTTATGCTTTGCCGACTGCTCATCACAGTCACAAGAACCTTTTCAGCACTAACACAGGTACTACTACCTGCCCATACTCGCGGTCAGACGAATTATGGAACAGATATGCGTCCTGGGTGTAGAACCCGATGCTCATGCAGACAGCCCGAGTCCCTGTATCGATAGATAGCGTTGATTGTTTGTCGACAACCATAGGGGGCATTTCCAAGGGTAAGCCAACCTCAGGAAAGCAACAACAAAGTGCCCGTGCTTATCTTGGGTCCTTGCCTGGACCTCTGCCAGGCGCAGCCATCCGTCGAAAGGCTTGTTCATCTCACCCTGACCTCAGCGCTTGAATGCCCAGGCTTAGGCGTTGGCCACGCTTCGTACCTCCAAACCATCGCTCCAGGAGACCCACATTCACGCTGATTTGGGTCTGAGCGGCTGTTGAACTGGTAGGTTCCATCTGCAAACTCACCAGATGACAGAATGGCATAGAGGCGAAACCTGAGCCGTGTAAAGCACTCGCCGCGGGACCGGAGATCTGTATGCATCGCCTTGCGGTGCGGCACTAGTCCCAAACCTGCAGGTGCTTTGCAGCGCCTCTTCCAGAGCCAGGAGATGTTGCATCACCAATTCGTATTCAGCTATCCGATGCGAAGCAAAAACTCAAGGACCAACATCGTGGTCCTTCCGATCGACCGGATGAGGATGGCACAGCCTTCTTCGGCAGCTCAAGATGTCTGTTTTCCTCACACGCCACCTTGCATCTTCAACGCTTCCCCCGGTTGAGCCGAGAAGCTCACGGCCACCGTTGTTTGTCAGGCGCCAGACACCATCCTCTCTTTTGACGGAGCGAGACCCAAGGCTTCAGGCTTGTGCTGCTTTCGCGATTGCATCTGCACGTCACCGGCACAACGCTCTGCATTGTTGCAACGACGACGACGACCACGACGACGACGATTACGACCACAAGGTGTTGCACATCTACAGGCGCGTGCCGAGTTCAGAGCCACAATATCGTGCTCAGGAATTGGGCAGCCTGTGTTAAGCGAGAGCCCCAGCATCCTCCCTCTACTGTAACTTTCTAGTACACGCCTGGATCGGATCGACTCCGAGGAGGGCCCTTTGCGAGGTGATCTTGGGCGTGAAGCCGCCCTCGTAAAAGGCCGACCTTCCACAAGGTAACATCACTCCAACGAAGTCTCGGCCCGACTACAGACCCCGCATCCCAACACCGCGGACCCGAACTATAAATCTTGAACCCTGAACACCGAATCCGAAGCCAAGTAAGCCACATCAAGCTGACCAGGGCAATGGGTGGAGGAGTAAGGCCCGTGGTTCGGGCTCCGCGCAGTATGGGTATGAAGGTGGTTCTTGCTATTTAAGACTGCGGCGGAATCAAGCTGCTCCTGAAAGAACTGAGCAGCTGACCGAAGCCTGAGTGCTGACGGAGCGGCACGTAGGCCATGCCACTGTAGATGGGGAAGGTCATCTTCCGAGACGTCCCAGACGGGCCCCGAAGCTCCACGTGGATGCCGAAGAGGCCCTGCAGTTGGGATTCGAAGGAAGATGATGCTATGCTAACTTCGACACACCATGCGCTGCTTACTGAAGCTGCATCATCGTCAGCTTCTTCTTCTTCATCCTCATCAGGCTGGTCGTAGCGATGGCTTCTGAGTGAATAACACCGCACGCAGAACACGGAATGAAGCGTGGGTCTGAGTCAGTCCAATATAGCTTTGGGACTCACTCAATGTTGATTAGATCAACACCAGAATCCTTCTGGTCAAGACGACTTGCCGGCTGACCGATGGCTCCTCTATAACTACTATATGACTATATTTACTATATCACATTCTCGCTGCAAGAGCTCACATGCAGATCTCACACAAGTGTGTTTATCAGCTAAACGCGACAAGGCCACACTGTGGCTGGCCACACTGACATTAACCATCATTAACCGATGTCGGTATAAAGACACAGCTTAACCTGATATGGTGTAACAAAGACTGCTGTACGCCGGCAGGCCTCTTTCACGATGACAGGGCCCTCCTGGCCGGCGTTTTCGATGGCTCCCAGCCCGAACTCGTTGATCACGGGAGAAAAGTAATAGCCTCAGGGCGCACTCTCACGCACCTGAACTCGACTCTTTCACTCCCCCCGAGCTCGAGTCAGGGATTTCTTCTAGACTTCTGTAAACTCTGTAAACGGGCGACTCCACTGACTCGAGATGCCGAGCGGCGGATCTTGTCTCGGCCATTAGAATCAGAATCTCCATAGGTGATGTGCGGAGACTGGCTACCTTGCTGCAACGCACTTCCGAGAAAGGCCGCGGGCCGTGAATCGCCCCAAGCTGACCCGGAGCAAGGAGCCCAACAGCAAGTCAGCCGCTTAGCACTGAAGACACCCCGGCTGCAAGTGCCTTACTGACAGATCCTTCAAACGATCCACTAGCCCCTGACAGATTGTAAAGCTCTGATGACGTTTGCCACCAGGCCAATCTGACCGCGCAGTGGCGAAGCAGAAACAAGTCAGATACCCTTTTTGAGAGACCTGAGGGCCTTCAGGAGCTTTTACCCAACTCACGGGACCTCCAACCCATCTTAGAATCGCCATGGAGGTTCCCCGATGATCATGATCCAGGTTGCGAGAGACCTTGAGGTTGGGTGCCTGCCAGCATTGGGAAAAGGTCAGATTCCCGCGCGCTGTCTGCAAAGTAGGTACAGCATGCTGTTTGCAATCACCATGAGACTGGAGGCTCGGATCCTTTCATCCTGCGCGTCCCAGCCTCTCCCGGCTGCGATTCGAACTGCAAGACGTACGGCATCGGGTGGATGGCCAGGCCACGTCCTTCTTCCTTATTCCAGGCATTCTCGAAGATGAGCTCGATAGACGGATACGGGAGTAGACACATAAGCAGACCTGACGACCAGAGTCATTTCGAACGTACTAAGGGCTCTTCCCAATCTGCGGCGCTACTCTTGGAGGAAGGCTTCAGATAGGCCAAGCATTTTGCGAAACTTGCTGCTCATGCCACCAGGGCTGACAAGACTCCACCACCCAGTTGGCCCAGAACTTGTTCGTGGCCTTCGGGCCAGAGACGTCGGTGCCGAACCTCTCATCGCAGGGACCAAAAAACGGAAACGCCGGCCGAAGTAGAAAACGGCAGATCTGCCGAGGTGCGGAGGCAGGTGATGCTGAACTGGTGCAGTCGGGAAGGTGGTGGTGTTCCTGGGGTGCACCCAGCCCCCTCCGTCACGCTGCTGCAACGCACCCTCCACCACCGCGATTTCTCCAACATCAGAAGTGTTGGGCCCGTAAGGGTTGGATTTTAAGTCCGATGCCTCCGGTGTATGATGGTTTATGGCTGACGGTATTGCACTGAGGGATTAGCCGACTAGCCCAGGGCCTAGCATGTCCTTGTACTCGAGTTGAAGTCTTAACAATGAATAAGACTAAGAACAGTAAGAAGAAGTGGAAGGAGTGTGTCAAGGTTGCTTACAGACTCTTGCTCTCTCATTCAACAGGCTCTTCCCGCACCGAAAGCCATGCACGAGACCTCAAGCGGATCTTCGTGCCCCACCTACTCAAAATAAATGATGTACGTAGAGAGAGAGAGAGAGAGTCGGCATCACGAAAAACAGCGGCTCGCCCCGATACCTCTGACTAGTCTTGCGCACAGGCTCGGTCGATGGGTGGAGAGTGGCTGGAGCAATGATGCACTGGAAGCTGTCTGGACTACCTGGGATCCGTGCAAGCTCGAACCTCCCACTACAGACAGGCCCATAGCTGACCAGAAGGGCTTCTCCTGCTAAACCAACCTCAAGCATCGAAGCAGCGCGCAGATGCCGCTCTGATCGGAACGGCTCAGTCTGGGATGTTTCAAGCCCAGTCACGGTTGCCAGTAGCGTCACCAGAAGTCGAAATCCCATGGGATTCGACATGATTTCAAAGGAGAGCGAGGGATGTGGGCGTTTGGAGTCTTGTGCCAAAGCAACTTCAAGTTTCAAGCGAGACTCAGACTCAGATCTCCGCGGACGGTTTAGCACATCCTATGCCGAGCCCCTACCTGAGATGATCCGCTGCTGCAGGGGTCGGGTTTCCGTACGATTGGGATGGAGTCCAAGTTCAGGGTGACCGCGGTGCCCTCTTGATTAGACGTTCGCACGTTCCTACAGCTGCAAGCCCTTCCAGCCTCCGGCCCCCTCACGCAAAGACTGGTGAGCCTGGGCAAGCAAGTTGGGCCGAAATGTCTCAAGCTTCCAAGTGCGGGACGACATATTCATAAGCGTAGAATGAGGCTATGATCTACCTGCTGCCCCAGCCGCCTACAGCAGTGGCACATCTGCCAAAAAGATTGGTGACCGCCCGACCATGCAAAAGCCCTGTTGATCAAGCCCAATTTGACCAGCACCGAGGTCGAACCCAAAACCACAGCATATTCGCACCACGAGTGTTCATGTAGCCAAAGTGTACAGGATGAGCTTAGCGGGTGTTTGCAACTGTAATCTGCTGCATCTCAGTGGCTCTGTAAGCAGCTCGGAGGACACCTCGGCAGAGGCACAGCGACGCAAAGGACAAGGACTTCTCGAGCCAGGAGGGCTCGGAGGAGGGCTTTTGGGGGAAGGATCGCACCATCTACGGTGGAGACCGCAGAGAGATACACAAACCTTGTCGCGACGACGCAGGAATCGAGTGTCTCACCAACCGCAATCAGAATTCATGCGACTAGATGTGTAGGCAGGAAAACCACGAAAAGGAGAGCATGCCGACGGAAGCTCTTCGGGCCTGTGAAATAAAGTCCGTTCGACAGCAAAGGACATTGAACGAGTTGTTAGACATTGCCAAAACAACGGACATCGCTAAGCGATGAACGATCAGGAGTCAACAAGCCTCGAACTCGTTTGAGAAGTCGAACACATGGACATGCCTCACGGCTTCGGCCCGGCGGGCCGTGCCCCCAAGGGGATCCCAAGGGGCCTCCTCGAGCAGCCTCTGCAGCGCGGCGCCCCGGCGGCCGCGGCCGCGACGGAGCTGCGAGGCACTCTGCCTCGAGAGAATTCCAAAAAAAAAAACGCGAAGAAGCAAAACTTTCATTGAGGCTTTTAGAAGCAATCGAAGCCCCCAAAGAAGGGCCCGGCCTCTCCAGCGCCAAGCTGAACTCGTCCTCCCGACGGAACGCTGCCTGACACGATGCCATGCCCTTCAAGACGTTAGTAAAACGTTGCTTCTGAACCCAACTTGGGCGATGCGGCTCAGAATGGCCCGGCACTGGAACTAGAAACCTTCCGGCGGCATTGGAATCTTCCGGGTGTCGGCTGCTGGAGAGTGAAACCCGGTGCACCTCTCCAACACCCAGGACTCGCGAATCGTCTTCAAAAGCGGCGAGCTGCTCCTGTTTGACATGTGTCAGAGGGAGTCCAAGAACACCTTCGCATGAACACAAACTTAGTGCACGAAACACTCCGATAGTCAGCGATACTTTCACAAGACTTGCGAATCCTCGAAGCCCCTTCAGTGCCTGGAGCGCCAGGAGGTTCCGGAGGAGGAAGAAGCGGCCGTGGAAGCCGGCGCTCCTGAGCCGGAAGCTATGGGTTCCAGGTCCTGAATGGGATGTGCTACGGTTCAGAGCGACCTGCGCAAAAGCCACAGTACAACCCCAAGTTGTCCCCCGAGCTGGCATGCCCGAAGCATCGGCACCCAGGCGATCTCAGGTTGCCGTCACGAGACGCTGCGCCGCGCTTGCCGATGTTCTCTGCAGTGCCGCGGAGCCAAAGAGGGCCTCGATGGGTCGACAAGCAGAGCCTCACGGAAACTTTTGAAGCCTCGGGCAGCCTTAGCCTTAGCACTGGCCCTCAACCGCAGATGCTCACGCGAAAGCAGAAACGCACAGACCACTTCAATGGGTTAAATTGAAAGCCTCACAGGCATGCCCGATGTTTGCAGTCGTGGGACTGCTGGATGCAACGATGTCCAGCAGAGCTTCGAAGTCCGAGACCTGTGATGTGCAGTTGGCCGACCCTGGTGCTGCTTTGGGTATTTCGGAAGGCCTGAACTGCGACTTCCATACATGTCGGCGGCTAGAACATGTTAGAACCATCTGCATGTCAGGTCTATGTCGAGCACGGAAGATAAGGAAAGCCCGCGAATTGAACCTTTCCTCGCTGGGTCAACGAGGGACCTGACTTCAAGACCCTTCTCCTTGGGGGATTCGCTTCGAGCCATCGCTCATCGCTCAGGCTGCAGTTGTTTGCGGCTTTTGTGGTGCAATGAGCCACTGCTGCCAAATAGCCTCTGAAAGTCCTATGGGAGTAGAGTGCGAATGAATGAAAAACCGTGTGGGGATGCCACAGACATTGAAGCAGCCAAGAGACAAGAGACAACAACAAGAAACATGCACATCAGGATAGCCCCTTACGCTTAGAGAAAGCTCCGAGCCCAGGCTGCCGATGCCTAAACGCTGGTGGTAGAGCCCCCCGACCTCGAGCACCTGATACGAGGCCGAAAGCAGCGCAAGCGGTCGCGACAGAGACTTCGGCTGCCGCGCAGCGGCCTTCTTGGGGTGGGTTGGGCATGGGGGGCTCTGGGTGTAGGTGCTGGGGTTCTGGGGTTCAGGCTTCAGGAGCGACTTGAGCGGCACTGCCGAGATGTTTAACAACTCACAACGAAACTGTAGCTGGGAATGCACCGGAAGACACAGATAGACATACGCCTCAAAGCATATTCTGCACGCTGTCAAAAACTTGCGCCGCACAATGCCTGGAACACTGCCTCAGGGTACTGGAACTCCTTGGCTGAAACTGAAACTCACTGCACACTCCAGGGCTTTAAGTGCCTGCGGTTCCGGGCCAAGCGCGTTCTGCCCTTGCCTTCGAAGGCATTTTGAAGACCAAGCAGCTGACAGGTCGTCGCTGAGGTCGGCAGACAGCCTGGGTATGCTTGATGTCTGTAGCACTTCTCATACTAATTACATAGATGCAACGACGAAAGTTACGGCTCTCCGACATCGAAACAGTCCAACAGCCGCACAAAAACATCTTCCACTGACATCCAGCTGCAGCGGAGGGGTCTCGGTACATGAACTCGGAAGTAGCAGCTCTCCAAGAAGTGTCGAGAGGTGCTGACGAATGTTCAAAAGGTTACACGCCGCATGGTTCTGAGCTCTGAGTCTTGAGCCAAAGAACCCTGATTCCTCCAAGGAGCAGCACCCTTCGCGCCTCTGCAAAGAGACGCCTTCGCGAGGCACCCAGCAGTGATGCCAGCGAAGAGCGCACCTTCTTTGAAGCTGGTGCTTTCTTTGGGTTTTGGGCTTTGGGGGCGACCTGAACACTTTGCAGCCGTGGCGCAGGCGTCCGCGATGCCAAGGCCTCTCGCTGCTCGGCCAATTCAGCCTGGCTGTCGGTGACGGGTCATCGAGACTGTGAAAGTACTGCCGGTCTGTCCTGGTCCTAAACTCGCACAAGGATGAACGGGTGCCTAAGCGGCAGCAAGTAGTATGTGCCAGGCGAAAACTGCAGTCTACTTCAAGACTTTGGAAGTTACCCTGTGCCGCAATGCCTATTTGAGAGCTAGCCCTTTCAAAAACTTGCTGCTTCCTGAGAAAACCTAGTTGCTGTCTGCCTTTACACCCAAGTGCTTGCTCCATCAAAAGACCCCAATCAACAACGTACTCTGAAATTATCCGGTCAAGTCAGGTCTAGTCAACATTGCCACACACAGGCACACCGGTATGCCCAGTGCTTGAGCCTGAAGCCTGGCAATGGATAGGTTGCCTGACATAAGCTCGCCTCGACTAAGAAACCCTCGATGCCGAAATGTTGGGCACTCAAGTATACCTCTGAACGCAAGTCCCAAGCCCCTTTCAGGCCTTCAGCACTTCAGCCGTGGCTGCGAGATCAACCTCGCTTGCGGCATCGTTGCAAGCGGAGCCCCAAACTGACCAAGCTGAGCCCCCCGGAGTTTCCCCATACACAAAAGGTCATAAACCAGAAGTCCGGGAGTCTGAAATCTACACGTCTCATGCACAAGCGCATTGACGCCGTGTTGCGTGAGGTCGTGGTGATTCTTGGGTTGCTCTACAATGCTACAACGATGCCGCAGTCAAGCGCATGAACCAAACTTCTCCTTCCCGGGCTCTTCATTCGGTGCGCCCTTTGGTACTGGACGGCTCTTGCCAGGCTGCTTGACTGCCATCTCTCATTCCGTGCCATACCTTGGCAGACTCCCGGTGTGCTAACGAGCTGCCCAACTTGAGGCCGCGCAGGCAGGCTGCATAGCCTCGACGGATTTTAAGCTACAAGTTCCGTTCGAGCGGGACAGAACAAACTTGCAGAACTTGCACGTGGTGGTCGTAATGCGCACGAAGAGCTTCTTACTCTGAACAGCCCCAGGTAAATCACGTCTCAACGGCACGAACTGGAGTTTGCTGCTTGCACCTCCTGGAACAATGTGCCGAGGTGGGCGAAGATGCCCTCAAGTGCCTGAAAAACATGGGTCAGTTATGGATGTCAACAGGGGGGCTCCTGCAGTAGTTTGTTAGGAATCGCGATGGATGCACAGAGAGAGAGAGAGGGGGGAGCAGATCGCAGCATAGTTGCAGCAATCTTCATGGCGATAGCCCCTAGCAGAAGGTTAGAACTTGGAACATCGCTTCATGCAGTGCATGTGTGCGGGGTGTATGACTACAGACACCCTCGGACAGCGCCTCCTGCGTTGCACGCGGTGTGAAGAAAGCCTGAGAATCAGAGACTGTCAATACCGCATTTCTGCAGGTTTCTTGAGGATAGGCTGGTAAGGCCCGCAGCTCATTCTCCCACAAGCCGTCAGACAAGCTCTTCCACATTCACAACCATTTAGACATAAATTCGGCCCTTTGACATGGTTGAAGGCAAGAGACCTCGAAGCAGCGCTGCTCTCGTGATGAGGTATCCATCAAGTAGGCGACGGACTGCCTCCAAGACACAGGCTCAAGGCCTGAAACTCGCGAAACCCAATAGCAGGCCCCACCGCAAAGCCAGGAACAGGATCAGCAATGCTGTATAGTTGTAGAGGGATGCGATGAAAGGTAGTATGTCATTGCTCGCACGGACCGAATCGGCTCTTTCACCGGTACGTGTAAGGAAACGAAATCGGCTTGTCATTGCATGATGAATGCCAGTGCTGTTGACCTTTTGAATCCAATTGACCTCGCTCATGATCCTACAAAGTGCTTTGGCGGTTTAGCGTTGCCGCCTTGCCAGCTGAGGCAGTGAGCCCGGTTGGTTGCCGGCAGCCTCCTGGTCGAAGCTGAGGCAGGCTCGGGGCTTCAGAGAGAACCGGATCCACAGATCAACGCAACATCAGGTGAGATTGTGTTCTGGAAGAGAGAGCATAGAGGCCAGATCGCCTTTGTTGAGACCCACGAAACTCACGTTGAAAAGAATGAAACCAGATCCACAAACAAAGCACAAATCGTGCACACTGAGGGCTACAACGGCTACAAGAGGCTGTCCAGACTCGCTGCACACGTGTTGGAGTTTTTTTGACGGACATCAACCGAACGCTTACCAGCAGCCGGCTTTTCATGAAAAATGCTTGTGGCACGGTGCGGAGCCGCGTCTCTGAAACAGTTCTCTCTTCTGAAGGTTTGTGTAAGCAGAAGATACTGCCTTCTGGACTAGGAATCAGGTAACACATCCCGCCGATCCAGAACATAAGCTTGTCTTGACAGGACGAACATCCGTTGTGAGCCCCTGGCAAAGCGTCTCTCCGCTTTCCAGGCTGAGGCCGGGTCCCGAAGCGACGCCCAGTGCGCGGCGGCTGCGCCGGCAACGAGGCGTAGCCGCAGCATCGCAAAGAAGCGCTCCAACTCGTCCAACGTTGCAGCCTCTGCGCCCACAAAGGGAGCAGACGCACCGAAACTTCAAGTGAATCGACAGGCCCCGCATGGCCCCGCCGCTTCTCAGGCTGAGGCCCACGAATGGGCCAACGGCACCCTGCCCGTAACATGACACGAAACAACGACGGACAACAAGTCACGCCACGCCGAAGCCTCGAGAGGCGTTTCGTTTGCTGAGTCGAAGGCGGCAAGCCGACCCGAAAGCACCACACTTCCGAAGACGACAGAAAACGACTGCTGTCAAAACAATCAAACCGGAATCTTTCAAAACGTAGCACACCCGAAAATTCGGCACATGGCGAATCCTCAAGAAGGACGCTGCTCTTCTATCCTAATGACCAGATGCGACAGACCTGCACTCCACGACAGCGTTTTCAAAGTGAATCGCTGCCCGGATTCGGACGCTGCCATGTGCCTGCTTGGAAGAAGACATCCACCCCTCGAGGCCACAGATTTTTTCAAAGTCAAGGGGCATACTGCGGTTGGGCCCGCGAGTGCCGGAGCAGCACGGCCAGCGCTGGCCGGAAGCTCCTCGGGAAGTACAACTTGGCAAAAAAGCAACGGCCCCTGGCTCTTCAGGGGCTTGGGAACGACACAACTGCAAACATCAAAGAGGCTTCGTGTTGGCTCAGTTGTGTCGCATGACTACCAGGCCCTTTCCCACATCAACAAGATCCACTTTAATGCACCCCTTCTTCAAGTAGAATCTCACGCTTCTTCCATGCTTAATTCTTGGCCAGTCTGTGGCAGAGGGTGCTTCCAAGCCGCGGCGAGATCATGTGAAAATTTGTGTAGAAAATCCTGGGCTCAGATGTGTCTCACGTCGCGAAATGAAGCAACAACCGACTAAGCAGAATCTCAATGAGCTTGCTTTGTAACCCACCAAAAAAGCCTTCGAGCCGGCGCCAAGCAGAGCGCTTCATCTAGATGCCACTGAACCCGCCAATGTTGCATGCGACAGAAAAGTGATTTAAAAAAAGTCATCAACACCAGATGCCCTGATGGTGTCGGCCATGCGGAACGGAACTGCCAATTGTGAGCTTGGCAAGGCTCTGCGTGTCGACCGTTGAAGTATCCTCCTGCTCCTGGCAGGCTGAAGTCTGATGGCTTCGGTTCATGAGGGCTTGGGGACAAGGGCTTCGGTTCGTCCAACTACATAGTAAATTTACGTATTTGGGCGCATTGCACATCTGGCGGCTGAAAAGAAAGCATCTTCCGAACCCAGAAGGCCAAAACAACCGAAAAGGAAAGAGCAAGCCCATGGGGCCCATGGGGTTGCTAAACATCGGAAACCCGAGGAACTTGAGCACCTGTGAAAGGCCCAGCACGAGCATCAGCTGCAAGTCACCCTGTAAACATCTACGCGCACATCCAAATGCGCACCCACACATGCTAAGCCCGAACAACGAAAGTTGCTGTCTCGGGACTATCGCCACCCCATACTGCCTGCAAGTGCACGAGCACTTCCTGCACTTGGGCCTCTGCGGCCTGTGCGGGGGAGGCGCAGGAGGGCTTGCAGAATTCTGAGGCCCGCATCCAAAGCCTGGTCTGCCCTTAAGAGTAGCGCTGCCCTAGCTATGTCCTCGGCCTACGTCCTGACTCAGCCCCTTACGCCCTCTCCGTGTCATCCTTCCCGCTGCCAAAGCCTGCATATTCAACAGAGACGCCAAACAATTGAAGTTCAGTGGTCCCGAATTCCTGCTCTCATAAAGGTCTTGAGGGGTCTGCCTTGAGCTGATGTCCTGGCTCGGTTTCACGAAGGCCGAGGTTTCAGGATCTAGCTCCCTCGGTACTGGGAAATCTGAGCCTGAGAATCTTGGAGCTCTCAACACAGGGGTTATGCCACTCCAGGACCTGCCTCCAACGCCCGTTGCAGCGAACTCCGGAGCAGGATGCAGACCTCGCAGAAAGGTAAACTTGCACTGCGCATGGCCCTTGGAGTTCTAGCGGCATCCTGCAAGGGTTTCCTGCCATCGCATCGTAGCTTCGTCTGCTTGGGATTCAAAATTGAGTTTTCGACTAGGCAGCTCACTTGTCCAGCCGAACTACACACCCGCAATGCTTGGACTAGCAGTAGTAGTAGTAGTAGTAGTAGTAGCAGCAGTAGCAGTCGTAGTAACAATAGTTGCAGGAGTAGCATGAGTAGCAGGAGCAGCACGGTGGCAGGAGTAGCAAGGGCAGGAGCAGTAGTGGTAGTAGTAGTCGTCGTCGTCGTAGTCGTAGTCGTAGTCGTCGTCCTCGTCGTCGTCGCAGTAGTAGTAGTAGTAGTAGTAGTAGCAGTAGCAGTAGCAGCAGTAGCAGCAGTAGCAGAAGTAGTAGTAGTAGTAGTAGGAGGAGGAGGAGGAGGATTAAAAAGCACTCCAAGCCGCCCTGTTCCGCAGGTGCGACAGGCCGCTCCTAAGCTGCGGTCGTTTTTGCAGAGGACTCCTTCAAAAACGGGCCAATTGTGGGCGTTCGCAGCATCTAGGCCTAAGGCCTAACTAACGACGATTTCACTGGGGTCCATGATCAACCCCAGACCTTGAATGGGCAGGTCCCTGTACATGTTACAGGTTGAATGTGAGGCATTTGCATCTTCGGGCTTCGGGCGGTTGTTGATCAAAGCTGCTGAGGGGCAAGAGCTGGGAAGTCGGTGGGGCTTGGCATGTCAGCCTCGTCAGCTACTGTAGTACTGTACGGAGCAGCGCCACGCTCTCTTGCTCAGAGAGTCTGTTTTGGTATGAACGCGTGTTTGCTGGCAGTGTCTGCGGTTCTGCGCTGGCTTTTGAAGGAAAAAGCATTGACAACACGCTGAATCATATGTCCAGGGTGCAGAGCTCTCTGAGCTTCCAAGAAGTCGTACCGTGATTCCAGCGACAGTGCACTGCTCTCCAGTCCTTGCTTGCAGTGCTCTTCTGGGACGGTGGTTCTAAGTGAGGCCCAGTGCTGCAGAGCCACGCTCAAGGAGCTGATCAAGCTCCTTTCAAGGCTGCAGATACACCACCACTCCAGCACCACCCTCTCTCCCTCTCTCCCTGTCTCAGCTCCTCCGGCGCTGCGAGGAGGTCGGCACCGGAATCCAGCTTCTGCAGGGCAGGTGGAAAAAACAAAGGAGCCCTTCAGCGTTAGCAAAGCAAGAAGATGCCGCCCTGGCTCTGCCTCGGCAAGAGGCTCCGAGCACTGCAGAATCTCCAACCTGGCTTGATTTCTGCGTGGCTTCTTGCCGAACCCTGCATGGGCCCTGAGTGGGCAAAGGAGCAAGGGCAGTGCCTGGTGGAGAGCTGATCTGCGAAGGCACCGAGGCGGCTGTGCTCCTCCAAAGTTGCCTGAATGGGCTTGCTGTTTAGGGTTTAGGGGTTTTAGGGGCCTTAGGGTTCCTTGATAAGGGTTCAGGAGTTCTTCATGGCCTTTGGGATCTGATGGCTTTTTTTATGGTTACGGCCTGGATCCGTTACCACTTGGAGAGTTGCCCCCTTCTCCTTGCGAGTTTAGTAGATTGCCAGGGGCCATAGAGACGGGTTCAACAGTAGAACTCTTCCGAACTTGTGTTGAACAGTCTGTCCTGAAGCTTCGACTTCGAGTTTCAATACTCGGCCAAAAGCGATTTTGATCCGATTGACTGGAAAGTCAAAGGCTGTTGAGGACGTTTGGCCCAGGTGCGACCCTGGCGATGAAACTGATGAAGCGAACTCTTTTAGCTTCCGTGCCACTGGGTCAAGAAGCAGATGATGCAGAGGATCCGACTGTATGATGATGATCATGGGCTTCTAAACCGGATGCGTGGGTCAGAACCCCAGACCACATGGACGCAGACGCCCCTGTCGCCTGGCAGCGCTGGTGAAGCCACGAAGAGCTGCGCTCGAACTCTCGGTGCTCGAGCTGACGGCTGGAGAAACGGGGGGGACAAAAGCCCGAATAAAGATGCCAAAAGCCCCAAAAGCCCCAAAGAGCCCCAAAGAGCCCCAAAGAGACCCCAGCGGATGCGGAAGAAGCGCCTGCAGCTCCTCGAGGCCCCGCTTCAGTGCCGCAACGGCCGCTGCCGCTTCGGCGCTGCCCGCGCCCAGTTGGCGGAGCCAGCTGAGGCCTCGCTCTGCGCTGCTCGGTTCGGCGCTGTTGTTAAATTGAGGGGACGAGTGTGTCCTTGTCTAGCTTGAGTGGGCCGGCCGCCCGAGTTCTAATCAGCACGGGAACCAGTAACGGTTGAATTTACCCATGCTCCTATGTCGGGGCGCTTGCGGCATGCATGACAACATGTTGCTTGAATTTCGCGGTGCAGGGCTGCACGGCACGGGTATTGTTGGAATGTGGGCTTGTAAAAGACGTGCAGGAAGTTATGCGAACACCAAACGAACTATATCCATGCCCCATAAGTTGTGTGAGCAGTAGCGGAAATTGATTGCAGTCTGAGTTTTGTGGAGGAGGAAGATGAGGAAGCTTCGGAATCCATGTAGCTGCATCACAGGCCTCTCCCGGACCACCGCACCATCAAGTCCCTAACCGTAGCCTTATCCCCAACTTGAAACCTGTCGTAGCCCAGACTTTATGCGGCCTCTGTGTAGAAGGAAGCAGGGGTCGGGGTCGATGGGCTTGTCGTCGGGAAAATCATGCGGAGCTTGGGTCACGACTTCTGCACAATTCTGCGCACAGAGTGGCAAGGCAACAGTACCACGAGCGCAAGCGTTCGTCTGACAGATCCTAGGCGATGTCCTCATGACAGCAGGTCAAATTGCTATGCGCGTCTCTGATAACGCCAAAGTTAGCTGCAGCTGTTTCAATGCAACGACTGTGGGTGTCGTCATGAGACTCCTGTGGATATAAATATGACGGCACCTACATCTACTCACAGCACGGCAGGCCCAAGTCTTGAAGCCTGTACCATAGTCTGTAGCTTTACAGGCTCCGGGATCGCCAATGCGTGCCAAGAAACGGCGACTCGACAGTGTTTTGGCGCTGGTGCCTTAGACATGTTGAGCCTGGAGCCCTGAGCCTAGAGCCCCGGCATCAGCATAACAGAATAATTGACAGAAGGTCGCCACGCTCGAAAATCTCCTCCGGAGCCTGACCTGTCTGCCGATGCCGAAATCCCAAGTAGACGAGGATCGCTGCTTTCGAAGTGCCTGTGCAGTGCGAAAGGCTGCAAGGCTCAGACACATCCGGATGCAAAGATCACCGAGACCAAGCCTCCGCCGCTGCGTGCCAGCGATGCACTGCCTCTCGGGTGAAGTGGCGCAACAGCGCTCAGAAGCGCGGCTGTGGCCGTCAAATTGAGCATGACTTTTGCAAATGGTCTGGCATTTCTATTATATTCAAATATATATTGCAAATATCTTCTCTTATATTATATTATATCATATCATATAGAGGTCTGACATCAGAATGCCCCAGAGTGAAAGGAGACCGCCTCGGCGCAGCTGAAGTCGTCCCGGATGGCCGCAGGCGACAGGCCCTTTCCAACTCGCTTCGAGTCTTCGGCTCAACTCTTCGAAGGCTCCTTACTATTTTAATTATGTATTTGTGTATGTATGTATATATATATATATCTATCTGTGTGGGAGTCTGGGACAATACTGCCGAGGCGTTCCAGACCTTGGGGCTCAAGGCATCCACCCTTCCACAAGGAATGCGCAGCCCCGCATTGCTGTGTCCTCATCGTAGATTGAAGCCAGCTCCTCGTGCTTTCCAACAGAATGGCACTTCGCAGAGTCATGGCATGCAAGCTCCATGTAACAGCACATTTCAAAGCCCCGCAAATGCATTAACGCCCACGTGTTTGCCCAACTTCAGCACCGGCGAAGACACCTCCAGCAGCTGCAGCTGCCTCGCCGGCAGCGGCAGCGGCTCCGCCATGGCTGTGGAGCTTGGCTTCAAGGCTTCGGATTCGGCACCCTTCGGCTTCTGCCGTCTAGCTGCGTCTAGCTGTAGCTGTGGGCTTCGTGTCAAGGCTGTGCCATTTTGCGCTCGCAATTAGATGCAGCTGGGCTTGCCGTCCTGTCCTGGCTGAGTGGTGTGGGGCTTTGACCCGGGCTCGGGTGTAAAGCTGGTCCCTGCCTTCCGGGCTGGTTTCGGGGCTGGTTTCGGGATTCGGAACATATGATTACTCACTGTCACTTGCAAAGTGGCTGGTTTCTTGCAGATGGCGCGCTCTCAGCATCTCCGAGTGAGCCCCGAATAGCGTGGCATCCGACCCACCTGAACTCTTCATCTGCAAGTCCTTGGAGAGGTTGTGTCAAATGGACACGAAGCGCAATGCCCAAGCTGTCGCGCCAAACCCTCGACGAAGCTCCCCCGATGGGATGCAACAAGAGTGCTGTGACCCGAAAGCTTCCACTGCAGAGGCCCAGATTAACCTAGATTCGGAGCTAGATGGTTCTATGAACCATGAACTTGCATCAACATGTGCCTGGATGTTTCCAACCCTGCGTGGCGAACTGCGAAGCAGAAGCTGAACCCAGCACTGGAAGTGGATCGTGGGTAAAGGATGACTCCGATCCTTTGAGAACACAAGGCCTTAGGAGTGCAAGTCTCAATCCTGCGTGCCAGCTTTGGGGGATGTCTGAAAATGAAACCCGAGATCCTCCGCGTTGCCATGGCAAAACAGGATGACGCCCGCGGCACGCGGGGCTGGAAGCCTGGCAACGAGATCCGGTCGCCACGGGCGCTTTCCAAAAGTTCAAGATCTCGGAGAGCTCCTTTGGTCACTCGCGATGGCCAGGAACCGCCAAGGCTCCACGATCCCCCGAATCTCGAACTCTGAACCCTGCCCACAACACGCCGGCCAAGCCAAACGCAAGGGATGCCCTCGGCAAACCTGCAAAGACAGTTGCAGAAGTGCTCAGAAAACTAACCGATCACTAAACCGATTTCTTCTGGAGCTGTGCCAAATTCCGGGCTACTGTTGGGGAATCGATGTTCAATAGACCT